AACTCGCGTGGTATCTGAACCAGTCGGACGCTTTTACGGTCGATCAGGTTTATCGGACGGGGGAATTAAAAGCGAAGCATCCGGCGACGAAATGACGCGACACAACGAAGGAGAAGGAAACAACGCCGGAGCTGCTGACGATTTTATAGGGATCCGCCGTAAGAGTTTATTATCGCATCAGGATAGTGGAAGCGCCAAGGTCACGAGGAGTTAAAGAGAAAGAGGAAGAACTGATTTACAAGCCATCGGTTCCTCTACCGATACGAAATTTATTAGCGCGAAAGAGAGATCAGAATGGCCATGGAGGTCACGGAACGTTATCCGCGATTGAAAGGAAGCGTATATTTAAAACGATCGACATATTTCATTCTCAAAGAATGTGCTTCAACGATAAATTCATAAAGTCTTCGTTTGATTAAGGTTACGAAGGATAGAAAAAAGATCCGCAAGTTGCAGTCGTCTCTGTTTATCGAATTTTACTGATACGTCGTGGAGAGATATCAAAGACACAATATGTGCTGGAGGAAGTGCACACAGTGATTCCAAATGCATTTGGCGCGTTCACATGCGCCAAAGTACCTGAGCACTGTATTTCCTTTTCGTTGACGCCTCGAGAAACGAAGTTTTTCTTTTTCTTTTTTCTTTTCTTTTGATATGACGTGATACGATAGCAGCGTGCGGCTAGTGGGGTTAGCGTGATGTTTTCGCGACAGGGCGTGCGAGTGTTCTATATTAAACTCGCGAACGCGGGTAGGCCGATTGCGAAACGGACGGCTGATATTTTCGTTACATCGCACGAGTAACTGCTTCCGGCCGAGCATGTCCTCCCTCTCTGTCTCTCTCTCTCTCTCTCTCTCTCTCTCGGTCGCTCTCTCCACGGCCGGCGTCCTTCCACTCGCATCCTGCTTTTCTACTCACTCACCCGCTGGTAAACTATTTTTCTCTCTTTGCTCGCTAGCTCCCTTATTCGCCAGCTCTCTCTCTCCCCCCCCCCTCTCTCTCTCTCTCACTGTTTCTTTCTTTTTCTCGCTTCGTGTTGCTCTTTCCTCTTTCTAGTCACTCTCTTTCTCTCTTCCTCCTCGCCTCTCCTTTTCCTTCTTCTTTCCCTTCTCTTTCTCTTACTCTTTCTTCGCTCTTGCGCGCGCGAAAGATCGGGCAGACGCCCGTGCTTCAGCCGGCCGGAAACACCTACGCATCATGGCAGTGTGCGAAGTAGCGATGCTCAGCGATGGGAACGAACACCTCGCGAAACTTACTCTTGCGTCCTGTTAATAAACGAAAGATTTGTATTCAAAAATACGGGTTATATCATACATAAAAACGATCCATGTTAAATTTTTGACAAGTATTGAAATTAATGATGCTATGGCTCTCTCCTCTAGAGAAATTTGTCTTTCATTCTCTATTTTAATAACTTTTTAGTAACGTTGATTCTATAATAGTGCACCATTGCAATGCAGACAGTGCATTCGAAATCTTATGATAGAATGTAAATGTAAATTCTCTGATGGTTGTATTTATTTTTATATTATGTGATGGACTCTCTGTCAATTTTCAATGGCAAAGAAAATATCAATTATTTCATTCATTTTGCAAATAATGCTATTACCAATTTATTAAACATATAATACTCGTTGTTGATATGCTGCCAATCATTTTAAACAAATATTTTATAATTTCCTATTTATTTTAAACGTATCAGAAAATGATGCGAAACTTCAAATCTCGTTGACAAAAGTTCTAGTCGTGTTTCGAGTACATCGTTAATCTGTGAAATAGCGACACGATCTATTCAGCAGCTTTTCTTTGAAAAGAATTCAAAAATTCAACATAAAGATATTATTCTGCTAATTATTTGCAATCCTGCTCACAGTAATATAATATTGATATTTGTGAGTTAATAGTAGCGTGATATTGAATTTGTAATAAATGCTATAATGAGCACCGCAAACGGATGTTGGCTCGTCGTTAATGAGAAGTAGACAAGCTACATAGATAGAAGGAGAGTATGAGAGCTCGCTTCCGTTCTCGGTAATTTTGTCAGTAATGGGTATAACAAGAAGAAAAAACAAACGTTATCTTATATAATTTGTTAACACAAGTAGCAAATACAATTTATATATATATATATATATATATATATATATATATATATATATA